CATTTTCATTGCAGACAATTTACATTAGATTGCAAGGTTAAAATGGAAACATTTTATCTTTAAAGATAATGAACCTCTGAAAAATTAAATTAAATGTTAATTATTTTAACAGTTTGGTCAATTGGTTAATGACTAAGAAATCATTAAGTCAAAGCTTCTCTATGTTTTTTTCTTAGTGTTAGAGTTTGGGAGGCAGATTGTTGTTCTCTAATAATGAAAATTGAGGATGTGAGCCAGATTATCTTCTTGTTTCTAAGATTGTGGGACTTTTATGAGTGCTGACACAAACCATATCAGATTGAACTTCAGCAAAACTAGGATTAACTCTTCAAGGGTAAAGTGAAGCATTTGTAGAAATTCCCTATTTAAAATTCATGGCCTGGTGTGAAAAATAAGTCCACAAAAGAGGAACTAGTAGAGAGTTGTCATTGCACTTCGTGTGAAGGATATTGCCAAATCCTGAGGGTGGGCGTTGTGTAACCCCTGAAAACAACGGGGAAGGAAATGTACAGAGACTAGAGGGGAACATTTCTTTACCCGTTGTGACATTTCTCTGTGAGACAAAAGGAATATTCCAGACACGCATTTGCATTTTTTAAAATGAAAACATGTGCAATTTATGTTTGTTTGTTGACAAAATACACTCCAGGTTAAATACTCTCTCTCGGTCTGACAGCCTCTTTTTCTGTCTTTTTCTCGGTTGTCTTTTGTCACAACCGCAGGCAATTATCCATTAGCGCTGAGCAGGAATTCTTAAAAAGGCAAGAAGAGAAAATGGAGGTCTTTTTGCACACTGCTGATAAGAAAAATGGGAGAAATTCTATTTCACCCTTAATGCAAAACAAACATCAAATATTCAGTTATGGACAAAGAGCAGAAACTTTAGTTGGAGTAAGAGCTGTGAATGATTTAAATCATGAGACATAGTTTAATAAATTGAGGCAAATCCTTTTTTTTTTTTTTTTTTTTTTGTTAGCCAAAAGGAAATACCAATACAACAAATCATTTAGAACAAATACATTTTAGCTGAGTATTTCTGGGGGATTCTAAGATTTTCCAAGTGTAGAAGAAATTCATAGATCCTCTATAGTGCTCTGGGTCATCCCTAGTGTCTCCTCTCAACAGCATGATGATGGTATCCTGATCCGAAGCGACCCACCGTGACTGTTTTCTTTTAAATTGGAGGAGTGGTAGTTCAACTTTAAGCTCCTACTGGATTTGTGAGCTCTTTGTATGCTGGATCTCAGTTTGTCTGTTATGATTCATAGCACATGACCAGAAGAAAACATATTGACAGACTTCCAATAATCAGTGTTAGGGTTTTAGACCAACCTCTTTTATTACAGACTGAGGAAGCACGTTATTTCAGAAAATGTCTTACTTGCTCTTATCTCTAGCCATCCATCACTTTAAAGTGTTTTAAATCTGCTTGAGACTGAGCCCCAATGCTAAGACAGAGCAATGTCAAAGACTCTTAACACCATGATTAATATTGTAGGGGGAGTGTGGCCTAGTGGTTAGGGCATTACACTTGGAAACCAGAGGTTCTGAGTTTGAGCCCCACTCCCACAGACTGCTGCTCTTAGTCCCTGAGCAAGACCCTTAACCCCACACTGCTACCTGGGCGCCACACAATGGCAGCCCACTGCTCCCCAAGGGAGGGGTTAAATGATGAGAGTGAATTTTATTGCTGTGTACGTGTGACAGTGTAATGACAATTTTAAAAAAAAGCTAAGAAAAAAATAATATTCTCTTGACCTCATTACAATTGTACAAATGTCCCACCGACCCAGTGAGCATAAGATGTCAATTCCAGATCAAAAGGACATTAAACACTGATGTCAAACTGTAATTGTAATATGGCCAAAAAAGGTTAATCAATTCTTTGACATCTATTTGGTGTATGTCAATTATTGATTTTAGTGATATAATTTCATTATTCAATATTAAGCTTCTTTGAATTTTCATTCCAAAAATGATAATGATAATGACATTGATGTTATTTTAAAACTGTTTAAGCTGTTTTTAGGCTCTAGCGCCTTAAGCCTTTATTTTTGTTAGAGCTTAAAATAGACAATATATTTTAAATAGAAAAGTTTGAAATAAAACAGTGTCAAAGTATAACTCAATTAAGGTAGTGTCAAAATATATCAATAAAATCATGAACATACATCAAGTTGATTTCTGTTTTTTACCAGTTTATAATGACAATTTGATGTTAGTGTGTGATATGCTATTGATCTAAAACTGACATCTTTTGCCAGTTGGGAATCCAATTTTTGAAAACTGTGGCATCAAATTTAAGGGGTATGTTTTTTTTTTTTTTTTATCAAAGCAGCTTTACATTTTGCAGTCTTTTGCTTTAATGTCTGTAAAAGATTGTGGCTTTAAAACACCAATAGAACCAGATCATCTACAAAAAAGGAAAGATGCGGCCCTAAGGGTCCCAAAGCAGAGGAAGAGCTATTCAAAATTATGCCAAAAACACTCAAAACAGGATGCTAAAGAGGGGGCACCCCTGATGGAGATCACTATAATGTATGTCCCTCTTAACTTGGGGTTCTCCAAAGCTAGCTTGTGAATGTTATCTGTGTGGAGGAGGTCTGGTTAACTAGATTTCCTCCATGACCAAGGGTTGATAGATTCGAAGCAGCAACAGGAGCTTGCTCACTGCAGTCTCAAATATTAGCATGAATTTTATTTCTATGTGGGAGGTCAGTGATGATGAAATAAAACATTTCTTAACCCTTAGCCTACTGGGTTTCTGTTAACATATGAACATTTATCTCTGTGTGCTTTTAGCATTAATCAGTGACTACAACAAATGCTGCCATAACTTTGTTTTGGAAGTGAGAGATGATAACTCTGATAGAAAATGTATAATTTACCAAAGCATTCAGCAGATCATTTCAGTCCTTATGATGTAATGCTTTGGATTTATTAAATGTAGTCCTTACTTGATCAGCTCTTATTTCAACATCAAACACCTCTATTAAATAGTTTACTCAAGCAATTTGAGTAAATTGCTTGAGTAAATCAAAAAACTGGAACAATATGGAAGCTGCAGTTTGGTTAAAAATTTGCATATATGACACGATGCATTATAAGTATTCTCATAATGCATCTTGTCATATATGCAAATACATTGCAAACATAAAAGCATGCATTCTAAAAGAAGCATTATAAGTAGTAGTATGAGCATTCTTATAATGCATCATGGTTAAATGAACTGTTAGCTTCTCTTTTGGTAAGTAACTATTTTTATAAACTGTGGTGATATAAAACAGTTAAAAAATCCATTTTTTCACAGTTTTCTGAAAAGTATATTCCGACTTTAATGTATTGATGATTTGGGCCAATATACTTGACCACTAATCAAGCTTAAAATACCTTTCAGACTGCTCCTAATGGTAGGTATTTTTTTTGCTGGAGTACCAAAACTATATTTTCTTACCTACAAACCAAAAAGAAAAAAATATATTTGTCATTCTATGGAAGTGAGATGTATACCATTTATTTTCAGTGCCTTAATAAAAATGAAAAGTATTTATGTCCAAACATTGAATGTTTTTTCAGTGATTCCAAAGAAAGATAATTAAAAACATTCCACTGTACTTTGTTTCCAAGTTTGAAGACATTTCGCTTCCTATCCAGGAGGCTTTTTCAATTAAAAATGTCAGGACGAGCTTTGAGTTCCAGGTTTTATACAGTAGCCCATCAAAACCTTGTTTTTGTTTTGACAACATGCAAATTGAAATGGACGAAGTGGTCCACCCCTTTGGATTTTCAGTGACTATACTATTAAAACCAGTTAATTTTGGTAAGCTGTATCTGTACATGCTAAAGAAAACAAAAAAAACCTCACTTAAATGGTTACTATGTTGGTGATTGAAATAAAAATGTAAATGGTTTATATTACCTTAAAGCTTGGACTGAAAATCACATCTACTGTATTTGTTAACAAGATGTCTGTGAATAAGTTTATATGCAAAAAATATTATCATCCTCCTTTTTTCCTCTTCTTTTCAAATATTCCTCTCTGTCTACACACAAACACACAATCTTAGCATCTCTTGAGCATTGTTTGTGTTGTTGGACTTTTTCTGAAAATTTAATATAGGTTGGACGTTTGTGAACACACAGGTGTCGACACCTGTGTGTGTAATGTAGGCTCTAAATGATTCAAAGATGCTGTTCAACCATAAAAAAACTATTAAAAAGGAAGTAAAGCAGAAGTGCACTTTTTTGTCAAGGGTATTATAGTGCATACCTGATTTTACCTTGGAGACGGATGTGTAATGCTCTTTCCTCCAAAGACCATAAAAAGGCTTTTAGTGTAAATGGCATCATGAGGTCTTTGACATAGCGAGAGAATCAGGAATCTGATGGATTTCACTGATACTTGGAAAATGAACCGCCCATGGGTCTTTCAAGCATGACTATCTGATGTGCATAGCCAAATAAACTCTGACATGATTCATCAGACACAAAATCAGACTGTAATTTCGGGCCTAAGACCTAAATCCTGCAGAAAATATAAGTTAAGTTGATTCCCCTGAAAACATCAAAAAGGACTATTCTTACTATATCTTTATATATATATATATATATATATATATATATATATATATATATATATATATATATATATATTTATATATGCTTTGATATAACCCATTCAACATTGTAGATCCAGCTATTTGTCTGTTATCCCAAGTCTTCTTCTATTTTTTTTTTCTCTGTGATTGTTCTGTGTTTTGGCTGCATCCATATTCCAATCAACACAGACCTCCTACCTTGTTCTGCTAAATAATACATCTCTGTAAAAAAAATGCAATCAGCAGTTTCTAAGGGGATATTCTGCTTAGCAAATTGATGTTTGTGGTTGTAATGTTACAAAGGGTTCAAAATGCAGGGCACTGTATGCATTAAAAAATTATTGAACAAGTAACCATATATGTTAATTTTTGATCTCTTACTTTGAGTTACAAAAAATACATTTAATTTTTCTCACATCCAGCTTTGATCACCACCCCTGCAAGATCTTGACGAGGATCCTGAAAGCCACAGATGAGCTCCTCCCTGCTGTGATTGAAGCTTGGTACAACAATCCTTGAAACCATGTTGCTCTCATTGACTGCAAGGCTGCTGGGAATAAGCTCTGTGCCAAGATACCACGCAATATGAACATCTTCTCCATTCAACTCATAGCAGTCTTGTCTAATAACACAGGTGGCTGTGATAGGTGATCCCAGAGGTACCACCAAACTGGATGTGTGGATCTTAGCACATGGCTGCTGGACATCCCCTTAAAAATAAAACAAATAACACAAAAACAATAGCTTAATATTAAGAATGGAGAATTCTCTTCTTATCTCCTAAGCAGATGATATTTCATAGAGGATCTTTGTGGAAAGCAACACAAAAACAAAATGTCTGAAACTGTCCCTGTAACTTTTGACTGGTAATTTACATTTCAATTTCTTTGTGAAAGAAAACCTTACCATTCATTGCTCCGCTTGCAGAGTCTACCGCCACAGCAATCATGACCATCCATGTGAATATCATCTTGAAAAACCCTGTTGGGCAGCCAAATTGAAGGACATCATTATAAAAATGCAGACTTTGCATGCTATACCACAACAAACCTGGAATTGTGATTCCTCTCAGGGTCAAGCTCTTCTGTTGTAAAAGATAATAAAATATGATATTAAAATATACAGATTGTTTTGCTTAAATTTGCGTGACACCCCATTTGCCTCCTTTAAAAATTCGAAATAATATATATATATATATATATATATATATATATATATATATATATATATATATATATATATATATATATAAAGATATAGTAAGAATAGTCCTTTTTGATGTTTT